TTCCCAACTTACAGAATGGTTTTTGGGTTCATTTTCCTAAGTAAACTGATGTATTATATAAGAGTATGTAATATAAGGTTCAGGAACTTGTAGAAATGTGGTTTTTATTACGACGAATTTACGACGAATGGGAGTGATCGTCGTAAATTCGTCGTAATATACCATCGAAAATACGACGAAATGTAACCCCTAAATCTTATAATCAATCTTTTATGGGGTTCAGGGGGGATTTTGATGAGGAGAATGAAATGGCTTACCATCTCATAAGGTAAAACAACTTTCTAAACAAAAAAAAAAAATTCAAAATTTGACATATATGTGTTTATCAAGTAATCTTAAGGTGTTATATATATACATTTACACAAGATGTATGGATTTATCTTACATCTTACTAAATTCTTCATTAAGTTATGTAAACATGCTAGAAAGTTATACAAACCACATTTATCATGAATAGACATGCTTGTATGTCCTTATGGATGTTTCAATTTTTGAATTTCATCAGTTTTGGTATAATTCGTCGTAAATTCGTCGTAGGATACACAGCCATCTTAATTTTTTTGATTTATACGAGTCATCGTAAAATCGTCGTAAACTCGTCGCAAAGCCCAGATACAGCCACGTGTGTTTGTCTTACTCGCTTTGTTGTACGGTGGGATCTTTGCGACGAATTTACGACGGATTCGTCGTAAATTCGTCGTAATATTTACGTCGAATTTACGACGAATATAAATTCTATATATAGGACCTCACCTCTTCCTCATTTCGTCGCTTATCTCTCCTTCCTCTCTCTCTGCTTCCTCCTTCCCACCTCCTCCTTTTGACGAAAAAAAAAAGGTAAATAATTTTTTTTAATTACTTAAAATTATAATGATTTTAAATAGTTTAGAAATTCAAACGGTTTAGGTCGGGAATTAGTTTAGGCTCAGAATTTGTTAGATTTAGGATCGTACTTAAAAATTAATTGTAATTAATTTGAAAAATAAATTTTTTTCGGTTTTGCAGACGATGACTCAACGGAGGACGCATTACATCAATTTCATGGCGGACGGACATTCTTCCCGGGCGTCTGCCTCGGGAAACACCGGGACCGATGTCCCTTCATCTTCCGGAGCCTCCCAGGTTCCGAATACCGCGGAGCCGTCTCCACCACCGCCTCACCACCACCTCCACCGCCGGCTGTCGAACCGGTACCCGCCCCGGCTGCCGAACCGGTACCCGCCCCTCCTCATCCGTATGCCCAGTTTACGGTTGAGGATTTACTAGCCTTACCGGGACGGGGGGCTTTACGACGTCTGGTTCCCGGAAAAGCGGAACCAGGCTCTTATTGGTAAGTAAATTTTTTGTTTTTTATAGTTTTTAAATTAACGCTTTAATTTACTTAAATATTAATGTAATAATTTTTTTTTTTGGTTTCATAGGTTTACTTTGGATAATTGTGTCGGGCGGAGCGTTTCCGACACAATTAAGAGTCATTTTGTGGAGCCGCACGTCAATTGGAGCAAGGTGTCGCAAGAGACGTGCGACACCTGGTACAAGTGCTTCGCGGTAATATTTTTAAAATCTTATTTATATCATTTTAAATTGTTTTAAATTTAATTAATCTTACTTTTATATTGTTTATCTAATTTTTTGTTTTCTTTTGCAGCAACGGTGGAACTGGGACATCGGGATCAACGAGACCGTCCGCGAAGCTTTCGAGGAAAAGGCGAAGAAACGCCTAGTCAACACCGTTTCCGATTGGAAGCGGAAATGGGAGACCGACGGCGACGACGCAAAGCCGAGCTCCATGTCCACTTGGTGTTGGAACGGGTTGAAGGCGTATTGGGTGGACCCACATGCCCAAACCACCGCTGCTAAGTGTTCGGCCGTCCGAAACCGGGTCGATCTGGTGACTGGTGAGAAGTTAGTGACCCCGCACACTTCTGGCCAAATATCTTTTGCGGGAAGACGTCTCATGATGGTAAGTAATTAAATATAAATTATTTCATTATTATTTTAATTTTATTTATTGCTAGAATTAATTAAATATTTTTGACTAATAATGTTAATTAATTGGTAGGCCGAGGAGAACGGAGGAGAACTACCTCCAATGACGAAGCTCTTCGAGACCACTCACCGGAAGAAGGACGGGAGCTTTGTCGACGCTCGGTCCGAGGAGATCTACAATGCCGCTATGCAGCGGATCGCCGAGCGGGAGACCCAGGCCACACCTGACGGTACTATCCAAGTACCGTTGACCGTCGCTGAGCAAGACCAGATTTTCAAAGAGGTATGATATCTATTTCAATTTTTTAAAAAATTTATTATATTTATAATTACTTAATAAATAATTAACGTTTTTATTTTCCATTTGTAGGTTGCTCCGAAGAAGAAGGGCCGAAATTTAGGGATGGGCTCTATTAGAGACTGTCCTGCCGCCACGGCTTCCGGATTCCGCTCGCAGGATCCGCAGCTTTGCCAGGAGCTTGCTACGGCCAATGCTGAGATCACCAGTCTCAGGCATGAGCAAGTGGCCCAGAAGCAGGAGCTCACCGAGATACATGATCTCTTCGACATCATTGCGGAAGCGGTTCCGCAGTTGGCCACCGCAATCCGAGCGAGGCAACAGCGAGCACGGAGGGTTTTTGAGACCGGTGGTAGTTCCGGTACTGGACCATCGGACCACCAGACGCAGGGCGGTCAGTCTTCGGCTCCGGTCTCAGCAGCGACGGGCGGTCAGACTTCGGTTCTGGTAGTGCAGACGGGAAACGTCGGCCTAGCAGCGACGGGCGGCCAAGACGGAGAGCCTCCTCGTGACGTCGATCTCAACCTCGACGATTACAACATCATTGTATAGATTAGGTTTTTTTGTAAAAAACAATTTGTATAAATTCTTTTTTTATTTATAAATTATTTTTGAATTTAAATTCAAATTTAAATTCAAATTTTTTCTATTTTTAATTTTTTGATTATTTTAAAAATTCATTAATTCAATTATAATCGAATTAAATAATTAATTTATAAATCGACGTAAATTCGTCGTAAATTTACGTCAATTTAACGTCGAATATTTAACGACGAATTTACGACGAATATGTTTACGTCGGCTTTACGTCGAAAATTTACGACGATTTAACATCGACAATAAAAAATTTAGTTTCCCTTAATTGAAATTGTTCGTCTCCTAATCGTTGTTAAATCGATGTAATTTTACATCGATTTTACGTCATTTTTATGATGGAATTTTTTCGTTGTACATCCGTTGGAAAATTTACGACGCATTTACGACGAATAGTTCCCGACGATTTTACGACGATTTTTCGGAGTTGGTAATTTTACGACGATTTTACGACGATTTCGGTTTTACGACGATCGTTTTACGACGATTTTTAATTCGTCGTTAATTCGACGTAAATGCTTTTTTACGTCGATTTTACGTCGATATCTGCCGACGTAAAAGCCGATCTTTCTTGTAGTGTTAATTTCATATTCGAAAGTATTATGTAAATTATTCACAGTATTAATTTTTCGTCTGTTTAAGTTAAACAGCTAAATACGATCTCTTTATGCATCAATATTAACTGTTCAAATTTATAAAAGGGAAAATTCCATAAAAAATCATTAACTTATTTTCAATAAGCTAATAAAATCTTCAACTTTATGACTACCCAGAAAAAAAACTTCAAGTATTTTTTCTGCCCAGAAAAAATCCTCAAATGTTAACCGTATGACCAATTTAAAATAGTTGGGTTACAAAAGGTAACGGTACTAATAACAGTGTTTAGATTCTCAGATTATCTGTTAACTATCTAACCATAGTTAAAACACGATTTAGTTCATAAAATCCCCAAATGCTCTAAACCCTAATTTTGTATCCCATTTATGTTCTCTCTCTCTCTCTCTGTGGTTTTCCATCGATTTGCAGTGATGAATCAAAGCCAAAGCTCCGGTTCAGCATCGAACGCAATAAGCGGAGGATTCATGGGCGAATTTGAGTGTCACTGTGGGAAGGAGTCGGTGGTTAAGAAGGCTTGGGCGGATGATAATCCGGGGAGAAGATTCTATGGTTGTGGAGATCGAAATTGGAAGTCCTGCAACTTCTTCAGATGGTACGATGTTGAGAAGCCTCATGGATGGCAGAAGAAAGCATTGGTGGAAGCTCGAGACACGATTCGGGACCAATTACAGGAGCTGAAAAAGCTGAGAGCTTTGGTCGGAGAAGATGGTGAAGTAATGGCTTCTGCCGGCGAGCAGATCAAGTCACGAGCCTAGAATGCGGAGAATGCGGAGATATGGCTCGAACTGAATAACGAGAACAAGGCTCTGAAGCAAGAACTTGCATTGAGCGTGGAAAAGGAGAAACTTTGTCGATAATTTGTGGTCATTTCGTGGGTCGGATTTGTGTGTGGGACTGTAGTAATTTGCAATGCTTTCAAGTAAATTCTAATGGTTTTAAGTTTGGTTGAAGTTTGGTTGTAATGTAGTTTGGTTGAAGTTTGGATATTGGTCTTTGTAATGCTTTGTTTGGTGAGATATTTGGTAATGATTGTAGTGTTTTGTTGATCGAAAAATGATGGTGATCCAAACCTATTTAGTTGCTTAATGTTCTCTATTCTCTCAGATAACAAAGAAACATTATCAATAGCAAATAAAAACACAATGATAAAGCTTCCAAGAACTCCCTTACAAAATATGACCAAAGTTTAACACCAACCATAAAGACAACTAGCATGACCAAAGTTTGAACACGAAAATACCAAAACCAAACAAAACAAAAGCCATAACACCAAACACCATACCCAAGCATTCTTCCCTGAACATTGTTTAGACACCAAAGACAATAACAAGCAAAAGAAAAGCAACTACTTGCGTGAACTTGGTCCTTGTGATGAGCTTCCACCTACCTCTCTTGCATTTTGACCAAAGCATTCAAATACCCAATTTGTATAAGGGCACATGAAGACACCTACACCTCTTGGGACTTTCACCTTCTTACGGGCTTGTCATCTTCCAGGAGGTCAACCACGACGGCCACGTCCATGGCCAGGAGGTGCTGTAGAAGAAGATGAAGCCGCTGTTGCTGGTGCAGGTGCAGTTGAGGGAGCCACGGTGGAGGATTGTGATTGAGGTGTAGATAGTGGAACAGAAGGCTGTGACTGAGGTGTAGTAGTGGTGTGTTTTTTCCTTGGCCGAGGATTAGATACACCATCCTATGACAAAATATGAGATTGTCAAAACAAAACAAGAATATCTTACAAATGTATTATAGAGGGAAGAGATACACTTACATCTATCTTCCGAGGTCTTCCACGCTTGCGAGTTGGTCCTTGAACCACAAAAGTTGGATTTTTGCAACCCAGTTGGTTATGTCCCACCTGCTTGCAGTTTCCACATGTCATTCTTCTGACATGTCTGGTGACTCGGTTTGGCTTGGAAGGAGACTCATGTGCAGATTTGATCCTCTTTTTCTTAGGTCTTCCTGGCATCTTCCTGAAACCGGGAACTCCAATTGGTTCCTTGTGAGTCTTCTCCCAATATAGCTCTCTATTAACAGGTTTTATGTTTTTTTGGTAGGTTGCTATCCAAACTTCAGTCTTGTAGTAGTTATCAACATGGCTGCAATACAAGGGTTGTGAAAATAAAACCTGATCAACTCAAAGCAAAAACATAAACACGGTAAAAGGATAAAATGGTTGTAACACTTACTTTTCTGGTTGTTGGTGGTTTTCGTTGATGACTCTTATGACGTGTGAACATGGAATGTCAGTCAGGTCCCAATCTCTGCAAACACAATGACAAAGACGAAGAGATACCTCATAGCTGCAACCATACAACAAAACCTCAAACAAGTTGTCTGAACTAGTAAGTACAGAAAAATCCTTGCTATCCTCTCTATTTGCTTCTAATATATCGCTGATCTTGTGTGGAAAAGCTATTATGCATGCCTTAGCTTTCTTCAACCTGTGTGCAATACGAGACATAGCCTGACTCCTTATTGTCTCCAGCATATTTATCAGAGGCAGCTCTTTTGCTCCTTTGATTGTCCTATTGAAGCTTTCAGACAAGCTGTTGCACACATTAGCAGACCTTGCATTTCTACTGAAGAAAGCAAGACACCAAGTCTTCGGTTCCTTAGCTAGCAAATCGGCATGTGCTGCTGGACCGTGTGCTCTGAGCTCATCCATGCGCATTTGGTACTCTCCCACTGATTTGCTGTATGCCATATTCTAGAAAAAAGGCTTGTAATCCACATCACTGTACTTCTTTTTCCAGTTCGCATAGACATGCTTTGCACAATTTCTATGCTCAGCATTCAGAAGAATAGTAGCAAGAACTACTTGAAGACCCTGCGAAACACATATACCATTCGTTAGACTTTAAAAACACATATAGCATTCATTAGACCCAATAGAAACACATATACCTTTTGTTTGTCAGATATGAATGTATATCCATCTCCCACACCCAAGTCTAAATCGACATGCAACCTCTTGATAAACCAATCCCAAGACTCCTTGTTCTCGCCTCTAACAATTGCCCAAGCAATAGGATAAATCTTATTTTCAGCATCCCTACCAACAGCAGCTATTATCTCTCCCTTCAACTCCCATTTTAAGAAGGCCTCATCCAACCCTATCAAAGGTCTACAGTTTTGCTTCCAACTTCTTCTCAACGGTTCAAAACAGACATAAAAGCTATCAAAAATCTGCTTTCCATCCTTTGTAACCGTAACAATCTCCGTACTCACTCCCTCGTTAGACCTAATCAACTCAGCTTCATAGTCCCATAACTTAGCAAATTGTTGTTTCTGGGTATCCAGAACCATATCCAATGCGATTCGCCTTGCTTTTCTGCATTTGAATATTGAAATTGAGACCTTGTACCTATGCATTAGCTCGTCTTTAATGTCATAACTCCTTATATCTGGTCGTCTTCTTGCTTCTTCTTTGAAAAGCTTCGCAATAGTGCCTTGTTTCAGCATCCTTACTCTTCCCGTGGGCAAATGACAGTGTTTATCTTCGAAGACTTTGACTATCCACTTCCGTATAGGCTTCTCCATCGCACAATATATTCTCCAATTGCATTTATTTTTAGTGCATATGGCTGCGTACCTTTGAGAGTTCCACTTATTCAACTTCACATCATATTGGGTTTTTAAAACATACCTCAGAAGTTGATCCTTGAACTCTTCACCATTGTTAAAGGTTTGCATCAGCCATAAGTATGGGGGCTGATCATAATCAGCCTTACTCTTTACTTTAAACCTCCTTCCACGATCATCTGTGTTCTTCCAATTAGCATATTCTTCATCAGTGTCTTCCGGAGAATCTGGGTATTCACCTTCTCGCCTTTGTTTCTCACCTTCAATATCACTATCCACAGCTTCGTCATCTGCATTATTCTGAGTAGGTGCACCACGAACTACGGGAGGAGGCTCATTTTTAAGTGCAGCAAACATATTGTCAAACCGTGGGTCAGAATCTCCTTCGCCTAAGATCTGATTCTCATCTTCAGATGGTACTCCACTCGCTTCTTCTCTAAATTCCACTATTGCACCTTCTTCCCGTCTCTGTTCTTCTTCCTTTTCTTCCTCCCTGTTTTCAACATCACTTTCATCACTTTCAGACTCTCTCTCCTCGTCATCGCTACTGCTACTGTTCTCATCATCGCCATTCTCACCATCGTCATCTTCCTCTCTATCCTCTTCATCGTTCTCTTCCTCTCTATCATCTTCATCACTTTCATCGTTTTCAGTAGCATCAAGAGGACCACCAGTAGTTCTCGACTCAACATCATCCCGCGATGGAATCCCACTATGTCCAATGTAGATGTGAACCTCTCCACATTCATTTGCTTCCGCCGCCATCTTCATAAGCTCCTGATCCTTATCCTCATACACACATCTTAGCTTCGACATATCCTCAGAAGGTAGTATGTACCATAATTTCACCACATCGCTCGCAGCTTCACGATTTGAACTGAAGTCTTCGAAAATGGAGAAAGTGAGCAAATCAGGATCTACCACCATATCAGGTTCCGTCAATCCTCCTTTATAGCACCACTGTTCACCTTCCTTTGACATTGACCCTCCATAGTGGATGTGGAGCTTGAGCTTGTCGTCGCCGTTACTACACGAACACAGGTATTTCTATTAGCAAATTACGACGAAAATTTAAACGAAATTAACAAAATGGTAAGGGAAACGACTCGATTTAGTGCAGATTATACCTCATGCCTCTTGATTTTCCTTTAATTCAGTCTCACGATCTCGATTTAGGGTTCATCTGTAAATTTGGGGATTTAAAGGTTTGCTTCTAATTTGGGGAATTAGTTTCGATTTGGGGCTTTTGATCGAATACTCGGGTTTACTTTAATCGGGTTTAGGAATCGGATTTGGGTTATTTAACTAATGCTAAACCACGTATAGTGACCATAGTTAGTTTCCTAACGTCGCTCTAATTTCCGTTTACTGTAGTTTCATATACGGTGTAAACTTAGTATACGGTAAACATTTGAGGATTTTTTCTGGGCAGAAAAAATACTTGAAGTTTTTTTCTGGGTAGTCATAAAATTGAGGATTTTATTATCTTATTGAAAATAAGTTAATGATTTTTATAGAATTTTTCCTTTTATAAAAAATTAGAGTATATGATCATCACTTTCGAAACAAGTAAAAAAACTCATTTTTAACATATTTCCGCCCGCACATAATGCACGCTACCACTTAGTTCCCAAAACAAAAAAGGTAAATAAAAGATTTTAGAGTTTTCGATTTTAATTAATTGCTTTTGATTTTTTTATTAGTTTTCAATTGTTTAAATTTAGTTTTTTTTTACTATGCAATTTCAGTTGTTCCGATTCAAGTTTTTTCCTTTTTGTATTTCTTTGCAAAAAAAAAACATCATTTTGACTTTTTTTGGGGTCTTCTTCTCCAAAACGATGTTATTTGATATTTTGTCCAACCGGAATATTGGCGTTTCTCTTTTTTAGAAATTCACAGGTTGACTAACAGAAAATGAGTTAAAATATGATTTGGCAAAAAAAAAAGAGAAAACTACTTAAGTTTTAATATTCATATTTTAGAAGTTCGGGTACTAATTTACACACTAAAATTTTTCAGGTACTTATTGGTTCCAATTGCTGCTGTTCAAGTACTAAATAGCCGCGTATCGTCAAGTTTTCTAAAATACAATGATTGAATGTAGAAACTGTTGGAACAATTTTTATAAAAATTTGTGGGCTTTCAGACTGAGTAGCGAAAACAAGAAAGATGGTTTTGATAAAAGACTAGAATTCAAGATTGTTTGGTCCAATCAGACAAACTTCTGGTAAATCTTCTATTTATGAATCCTAAATTTTGTATATGTAAAGAGTTATATAATGTGGTGAATCCTTTAATCTGTTATTTTTTGGGAAGCTTATCGCAATCTGCAGAAACCCATCCTATTTGTTGCTTCTCGTTGTCGTAGATTACCATAATCCCTTGCATAGATATATCTTCAGAAAACAAAATGAAAAAAATTAGTTGTAGCTAGGTCTGAGCATTCGAGTTTAAGATATCGTTTGCATGTTGCTAATTCTTACCTCCGATTACGTTGGAGTCTTGTAATCCTATTTCACTTCCATTTAGTATTCCCAAGCAGACGTTCCCAGTTTTCTGAACAAGACAATGGAAATTATTTTCTAAGTTTGAATATGACGAACGAATTTGTTAAGGTTTTATCATTTCTTACAGAGATGATGAGATAAGATTCAGGTGGGATCTGGAGCTGAGTGTTTCTTCTACTATTCATAAAGTTGATTGTTAAGGTCTTGAACAAGTTCTTGACCTCAAGAACAGATTTCAAAGGCTTAGCTCCTTTCCAGCAGATTGGTAAAGTCTTATCCTCTTTCGCATCCTTCAACGGTTTGCCTTTTAGTTCGTTTCCAATCTGAAACACGTGCAAAAACAAATTGCATTAAGCGACCATAAATACATACAATGCTCTTGAATACTTTGCTTTTCTTTAATTACCAGATTTACTATTGTTTGGTATGTCTTGCTGTTGAAATAAGTGTAGGAGCTTCCGGTGTCGAAGATGATTTTAAGGCCTTTTAATCCTGTTGGTTTTCCGTTGAAAAGTAGCTCGGCTGGTCCCGTCGTGTAGTGGTTTCTAAAGAGAAGATGAATCAGTACTAGTAGATAACAGTCTGAGGTAAATACGAAAAGAGAAAGTATTATACTCATGTGACATTAATGGTGTCCAGGATACACCACCGGAAGGAATGAGATTGTCTCCAAAGAACAAAAAGCCTCCACCATTAGAGCTTAAGCAATGTCCAATCACGTTTTTCGTTAGTCCGGCGGAGAAAAGCTGTGTCAAGACGCTGATTTTCCCTCTCCCAAGCCCCAAAACTCCCGCGGTCGCAGGGGGAGGATGTGCACTAGGGAAATTCTGGTCATAACCGCACCTACAAACACCAACATATTTCAAGAATGAACATTTACATCTCAAGATTTACATATTGACTAAATGAAAACAGAAATTCCTTAGTTGCTCACCCAAATGCTAAGCGGGGTTGCAAAGCCGAGCCGTTTATGAGCTTTAAAGGAAACTGATCAGTGACAAGCGCACCCATTGATGAACCTTGATCAGCATATTCAACGTCGTAATCGCATTGTTCTTTTGGGTTTGGGCAATGAGGCTTGTTAGGCCAGTGAAGAGCTGAGCAGATTGGGTCTGAACACGGGACAGTGTTTGCCTTAGGCTTGTACAGAAGTGAAGGATGCTAAAAAATAAACAAATATTTGATATGAATAAGAAGAGAACGAGTTTTCATTTTGAAAAGAGAATGAATCAAACGATACATTACCAAAGTGCAGCCAGTGCAAGGAGCATCGCATTGAATCCAAGTGAGATCGCTACCAGTATCAATATCAAAAGTAAATTTCTTTGGAGGACTTCCTATTTGAAGAGAGACGGAGTAATATCTGCAAATTCCAAATAAATAAAAAAATTAAATTTATAAAAGACTATAATCATCAAATATAAAATATAAATTAGATATATTACTATTCAACAATTAAGAAAACAAAATATAAAACAAGTCTAAATTAAATTGAAAAAAAAAAGTTCATTCTTTCAAAATCAAGAAAATACACAATTTTAGGTTTTAGGATTTGTTTAGAGTATAGTTTTTTGGGAGTTAGGCTTTAGGATTTTTCGGTTTGCTTAAATTTTAACGGTTTGGATTTCACTTTTGTATGGTTTTTATTTTGTCGTCTTTATTCACTAAAAGAGAAATGTTCAACGCCCATGTTCTGAACAGAGGAAAATCACCAAAAAACAGAGCAACGATAATGTTACCAAAATCCGGCTAAAGATCTTCTTCACCAAGATCTACAGAGTTTCTAGGGTTTAGGAATGAGTTTTAAATTCTTTAATAAATTTTGGAAAAAAAAGTATAACCTATTTTGTTAGTTTTTTAATAAATTATGGCTTATTTCCCGATTAATTATCCTAAATCTTGTGTGAAGTAAAGCTTGAAAGAAATGAGAAAAATAAAAAGAGATGAGAAGAGAAATCGATCTGTTTACCCGAGGGGGAAGACATTGCCGGAAAGAGGGAAGACGAGTGATGAAGGAGGAGGTTTGGAAGAGAGGGTACTTGAGAAGGTTTTGAAGATGGAACCTTGAATTGATTCCGGAACTATGATCAAGAACAAGATCAGAAGAAGAGATAATCTCGAATTCATATTTTTCTCTCTTTCTTGCTCAAGAAACAATCAACCTTCACAAACAAATAAAATAGTTGCAGAGAGAATATGGTAATAGAGAAAATGTAGATATATGCGTGTAACGATGAAACGATCAAGATCTCTGATATTTTTTAATAAAGAAAAATAACATGCATTAATGATACCCTTTGTATTAATAAAAAAAATTAGCCAAATTATTTTATTTATCAAAGAAAGAAAGAATCAATTTATTAAATTAATATGATAAATTTTATTAGTTAATGAAAAAAAATTGGTGCATTCTAATTAAAGTTTGCATCAAAATTTGGATGATTTTCCTTTTCTACACAATGAGTTATTTAATTAAGAATGGGAGCTTCGTAGAAAATATTGGAGAACCTTAAATGTTCATGGTCTCGGTCAATATACTAAAGAACAAAAATGTTATAAATTCTAATACACTAAAGAACAAAACAAAAAATAGCATACAATATTACAATAACCCTTTGTGTTAAAAATAAGAGCCAATTAAAAAAAAAAATGAGCTGTTACACTGCTAATAATTTTTTATATTTTCCCGAGTTTCATATTATTTTCTTGTTTGGACGAACTAATGCAATGAATTTGGTGTATACTGATTTTCCTTTTTGCCGAACAGTAAGTAATAAGTGTAAAAGAAAAAAAGTAATTAAGCAAAGAACCGAGAAGCTTCGTAGAAATTATTATGGGTGGACTTCAAACGCGGATTCGACGCGGTAACGTCTCCGCTGTGGCGCTGTGGGTTTGATGATTTTGACACTTATAATTAGAAAGATTAAACAATGAATATAAAATTATTGATATGGACCAAAGTTTCAATAACTATAGCTTCTAAAAAGAGTATCATTTTGGAGTTAAATTTTACATTTTCAATATTATTTGTTAAACAAAATTTATATTTATGCCAAACCAAACTCTTTATAGAATGGAGAAAGTCTATATTAGGAATAATCAAAACTGAAATCATTTATAAATAATAAGTTGAAAGTAGAGGACTTATTAAGTTATGTGTAAAGAAGTATCCAGCATACATGTTCAGCTTGATGAGAAACCATGAAATTACAAAGGTTGTACCTGTAAACCAACCCCCTTAAGCGAATTAGGCATAAGGAAAGAGCAATAGACCAGACCAATATAAAAAACCGAAGCTATCCCTCCTAAACAGTCATCTATAATCAAAGAATTTTTTTTTACAGCTTCTACTTCTGCTTCTATAAGATTTACAATATTTTCATAAAAAAAATTTAAAAACTCTTACTATTGCCAAAATGAGGAAATCGGTGTGTTTATCCATTCACAAAGATAATGTATATTATACAACATTCATGAGATCTGTATAGATATTCCCTAATTATGCTAATTATATCAGTGATCTAGGTGATTCCGTAAACTCTAATTACACAATCATATCTTCTCTAAGAGATATAGTCAATCGTAATACTCCTCCCTTAAACTGGAGTTTGGAGATTACAAATCCCAAGCTTGCCAAATACGTAACTAAATTGTTGTGAACCCAACGCTTTTCACATATGTCAGCAGGTTGTTCCCTCATTTTGACATACGATGTAGCTATAGTGCCATTTTTAATTACATTTCTTACATGATGACAATCTACCTCAATATATGTTTACTGTTTAGTCTGCTCATAAAAACCGGATTGTTAGCTGTATGAATAGATTTAGGGGGTGTTATTCAATTTAAAATATTTTTTTTAAGTTTTATAATTTTTGAGATTTAAAAGTTGAATCATTTTTATAGATTCATTTGTTTAGATTCTAAAATTTATGCAATATATATTGGATTTTGATTCTAAATAGTTACTCATAAAACTATATTGGAATTGATTTGAAAATGAGTTAATATATAAATATTTTAGAAGTCATTTAATTTTGAAAAATACTGGATTTTAATGAAATATTTGAAATCTTCACTGAATAATACCAGATTTTAAAATCTCTTAAAGATGATATACAATAAAAGTTATTGGATTTTAAAACTTTATTTAAAATCATTAGTTGAATAATAATAGATTAGTTAATTTTCTCGTGCCTAGCGCTGATATAATTTTTTTTTTGTCAACAACTTTAACTAACTAGAACGGTTCAGTTAGCCAAACCGGAGGTACCGAGTTTACATAGATGATTTCTTGAGGGTGGATCCGGGCATTCCTTGCCAGGTTGTCCGCCTTCGAATTCTTCGTGCGCGGGATATGTGTAAGGAGGAAGAAATTGAAGCTGTCCTTCATTCGTCCGATCTCCTCCAAATGTAAAGCGAAAGCTGGCCATTCGTCGGGTGTAGACACCATCTTCACCATCTCCGAACAGTCTGTTGCAAAAGCTACTTCCTTCTTCTGGTTGGGAATCATGCAATGCATCGCCCATATGAGGGCCTCTACTTCTGCATGAAGAGCCGAAAGACTCCGTCTTACTTTCTGTGCTCCCATTATTGTGTCCGTAATTCCTTCTTTAAAGTAATACCATCCTAGTCCTGCAAATGAGTCTGTATCTTTCCAAGAGCCATCTATATAACACCACCAGCCCTCATAAGTCGGGCATGGTAAACATTGAACATTGGAAATATTTGAGTTGGGCTGCTCGTGTGCCTCCTTTTGGGCCTCTTCCCACAGATTCGCCTCCGTTTCCGCTATTTTTAACGTGACCTGTGGATCAATATCTTTGTTCGAGTATACCTTTTCATTATGCGCCTTCCATATATACCATGATCAAAATTTGAATAAACCGATGATCCCGGGAATATCCCAGGGGGCGACGGAATTTGGGATAATGCCCATGTCTGTAAGGTCGGGGGACATTCAAACAGGACATGATTAATTGTTTCTTCCTTTGCTCCGCACCGTGCACATTGCGTGTCGCATTGTATTCCCCGAGTACGTAATCTAGCTGGTACTGAGAGACAGCCGGATAGAGCTTGCCAAATAAAATGCCGTATTTTGGGTGCACATTTTAATTTCCAAGCATATGCTTGTAGTGCTGTGATGTCTGGACCATAGGGATCCAACTGGGCGTCCTCGGGGATATCTTTTTCCGTCTTATATCCAGATTTAACCGTGTATCATCCGGATTTTGTAAAGTGCCACCCAAGCTGATCTGGCATGTATGATCTACTAGTAGGTATTCCCCGAATAATCTCTACATCCCCCGGATCAATGATCGCCGACAGTAATCCTAAATTCCATGATTTTGTCTCTGGATCAATCAGATGATTAACCATAAGGTTTGGGTAATAGTTAATACCCTTACAAGTGGCTGGTCTCGGGCGAGAGGAAGGTATCTAGGGGTCGTTCCAGACAGAGATTGAACATCCTGAACCCACGCTTTTAATTAGTCCTTTATTAACCAGAGCGCGAGCCGAGAGAATACTTCGCCATCCATACGATGGTGAGTAGGATTTCACTGGGTCCAAAGGACTTGTGTTCCAACACTACAAGAAAACATCCGCTTTTAGACGGTTATATCTGTCGGTAATCCGTCGCAAAAGGCTTTTCCAGACGGAATTCCGACAAAAACAGGTCGTCGGGATCATCTTGTCGGGAAAAAATATCCGTCGGAAATTCATCGGGTATTTCCGACGGAATACCGACGACTTCAATTACTCGACGAATTCCCGAGGACAAAACTTTTTCGACGGATTCCTGACGACGCAATTTTTCTGACGGATTCCCGAGGAAGCATTGTTCCGACGTATTCCCGACGGTTTCATAAACCAAGGAGTTTCCGATGGTTTTGATTTTGTCGGAGTTTCATTTCCGACGGAAACCCGACGAATATGACGATTTTTGTTTCCTGATGGATTTCCGACGGTCATCATTTCCCACGAATTTCCAACGGTCTTTTTTTGTTAGTACCGACGATTTTCCGACGGTAAAAGAAAAATTAAAAAAAAAAAATTAAAAACATTAATTCAGAGAAATAAAATTGTAAATTAAATATATATAAAACTGAAATTTATAAATATAATGAAAATATTTTAAATTTTTTTTAAAATTCAAATATTCATATAACAAAAAAAAACAATAATCTAGGTTTCTGGATTTTCCGTTCCCGAACTTCTGAATCCCGGGAAGTCAGGAAACCTCGCCTTCATCCAACTTGCCATGGTTGCGACTTCCGATCTGGTTGTAGTAAGCTCCGATTTGGTCGTAGTGAGCTCTTGTTGTGTTGCATCTAACTTGTGCTCCAAATCCGCTGCTTTTGCCTTGAGCTCTTCGTTTTGCTCGACGATATCTTCGGGATAAGAAGAAGAACCGAAAGATTCTTGACTTGAGACAACATTACCCAAACCACGTCGACGTCCTTTCTTCAACGGAAGCTCCTGCACAATTAAAACAATAAGTTGTTAATACCAACAGCAAATGTAGACAAAAAAAATTAAAGGTACACAAACCAAGAAAACTTACTTCGCGAACCAAACGGTTGATTTCCTCGCGCGACAAAATGACGGGAGATGAGGAGTCACCTTGTGACTGTTGACTACTCTCGATGGTCTGCGTCACCTTCTCATAAATTTCATTCATTAGAGGATCTTGAATCACATTGCTCCCCTTCTTTGTGTGCACCTTCTTCATCAACTGAAGATGATCTGGACGCACTCCTCCAGCCTCTCTAGTCTATTTAAAAAAAAACACTTAAATGTTATAATAAAAAGTGAACACGTATTGTAAAATCCCAAAAAAAATAAGAAAATTTTACCATTTGGTCTTCTTGACTCAAAAAGCTCGTCGATCCGGAGTTGTGAACATATTGCCCTTTGCCTTTTCGGTCACTCCTTTTGTTTGTGGAATTAGTCTTCGATTTCTTCTCCGTCTCGGGGTTTTCCCAATATGGGATGTAGAGTTTCCAGACAGTGGCATTCAACCCTTTCGGTTTGCCTTTCCCCTTCCTCCAATTCTGTTTCCACTCGTACATGTTTCTTGAGAATTGCGTAGCACACTCAGCAAGAAACAAGCCCTCCACAGTCTTTGTGCGGTTTGGATGCCATGTAAACTCTTGCTGAAAAAAAATAAATTTCTGAAATAATACTAATTTAAGAAAAAATTTGAGTATTGAATAAATTGTTTGAAACTTACCGCAAACTGTTTGAACCATATGTTTTTCTCTTCGATAGGGATGACAGAAAATGTCTTGTACGGTTTCTTAAGGAGTGAATGCAGCATTCTCAAAATGCACTTGCTAATCCCGTTGTTCGAATATCCAAACCTTTAAGAAAAAAAATCTTGTTATTTTTATAAACATATTATCAAAAGAATAAAAAGATGAAAAAATAATTTATTACCAAGTCGCATTTCCTCGCCGAAGTGGATCAAGCGGTGTGCATAACTCTCGTCCGGGCTCACCGAGTAAATTGTTAATACTCGTGTAGAATGCATCAGACGACGGAGGAGTATGAGAAGAACTCTCCAGAACCGCGGAAATCTCTGGGATATCATCCAACTCCGGAAACTCCGGATAATCATTAGACTCCGGGCTAG